GCCCTGGAAGCAGAGTATCGGTGGGGAAATCGAAGCTCTGCCAAATGAAATTCTCTGTTCCATTCGTCACTACCAGATTTCCTGATTCCAGAAGTCGGAGTTCGATATAACCGCCGGAAATTGCGTCGGTTGACCAAACGACGGAGCCATCGGCGTCTGTCAAGACCAAATTGGAATCGACATTGAGGGTCAATCTGGATTGCTGTCCGTTAACTGGTCTATCTCTGTTGGCCATCCATACGACAGTTTTATCGAAGCTATTTGTGAACCAAATTGAGAAACAATACGAATTGTTTCCCACCCGATAAAACCCAGATGAAAACGTTCCGTTTGGGGAAACTAGGAATTGATTCGAGTCCTCCACGGCCATGGAGTTTCCCGGAGTCAGCCTCTGCAACCCCATTGCAGAGGAGATTGAAAGAAGTAGACAAATTAACAGATAAGGAACCGACATTCTCGATCTGATTACTTTCAGAAGCTAATTTGGAATGGAATTTGCAAAGATGGGTTCTGTTCTCTGCACAAAGATTACGCATAATTATAGAAGTTTTAGTTCTTTTTTTTTTTAAGTGCACGATCATGGAGTTTGATTTCTTCTGGGTCAATGGCCGGGAAGAAACGGCAATAAAGTTTAGACCAAAAAAATAATGTCAAACATGAACCTGGCTGGCGAAGCAGAAAAATTATATTTGAAAGATCTTCCATGAGAGCTTCCCCCAGGATCTGGTGGTGAATGATAGTGACTGTTAGCCATTTCTTTAACTTGAACATACTGTGATTCAGATTTTAACTTCGAACATTTTGTGGCATTTGCCTCAAATTATCTTCGTCTAATTCCAATTCTGGATAGTTCTTCGTTTCTTGTTTGCAGAATTGTATTAATTAATTAATATCAGAATTGAGTGAAACCGTTTTACAAATTACAAGCTTCAAATTTTGATGAAGAGTGGATAAACCACCGCCATGACTGGAGCTGTTTTCACCAGTTTATACTGTAAAGACTTGTTTAATTAGCTGCAAGTGTGTTGGAGCTCGGATTTGGTGAGCTCGGGTACGAAGTAGATCGAAACGGTTAGAACGAACTACAGCCAACTGCCCAGCGCCCTCTCCGAACACTCTCGAGACCTGCAAAACAAAGTTAGCACTCTGATCAGCAAGTCAGTTCTGATCCGAGCTAACTTGTCGAGTCTACCTAGGATTGCATACCTTGCATTTAAGGCTAAGGTTTCTATTTATAGAAACTGAGCCCGACAGGAGTTCTGACACACCCTAAAATCGCGGCGTGTTGTCGGGTACGGAAGGGACATTGTTACGGACTTTGTCTCTCGGCTTGGCGCTTTAGGTCCTATCCTGTCTGCCGACCTGAGTACTTTGAAGCCACTTTCTATATTTGGTCCGCATGTTCATCTAACTCACATTTTGGATCATGACACGTGGCAGGCCAGGATTCGCATCCAACAAAGTGCATAATCTTTCTTTGATTAAACATAAAATTTAGAGAAGGAAAATGATGGTTTAAATTAGAAGAAGAAAACTTTTAAACAATTAAGATTTTTTCATTGTTAATCATAGTCAAATATGTGGAAGAACTAGAAGAATTGTACTGCGGCCGTGGATGAGTTGAAATGGAACCACTTTGATCCACTTGATTGATATATTATTTGAGGTATTAAATTTCATAGAGATTTTCATCAATATTTTCTTAGGTAAATGCAAGGAGTGTATACATATTTTCATAATATCAGAAAAGGAAAAAAAGAAAGAAAAATATCAACAGACTTAATATTAATATTAATAAAGTTTAACTCAGAAATATTTACTTTTTATATGAATATTTTTTAATATAATTTTTCTTAAAAATATCAACAAGACATAGACATAGACATTTAAAATTTTAATATTAATTACGTCATCTATTTATAACTTATAACTACTTTATTCCAAATAAGTTTTGCTGACTGAATACTTTTTTTTTTCTTTTTTGTTATGCAATCTAATTTTCAAATGATGTTGAAAATTTTAGTCAAATTTTTAGAAATTAAAATAATAGTTTTTGGAATTTTTGTTTTTGTTTTTTGGTATATAATTTAGCAAGTTTTTTTTTTAATATGTGATTAAGATTTACAATTCTCGTTTCCACAAAATTATTATTTTTAGGGTCACAGATTTAGTTTCGTTAATAATAATTATCTCTAATATTAACCATCCACAATCTATAATCTATCAATAAAAATAAATAGTCTATGAGATGAATTGGTTTGATTTCACACCATCCACAAATGTGGTGAAGTCAATGGTCAAAATAATGATAAATAAAAAGGAATTCTAGTTTAATATAAATTAGAAATTAATAGTCAAAGCATCTCAATTAGAATTGGAATCCTCATGTGAAGAGATACAAATACTTCCGCTATCTTTTTATTGAATAAACAAATAGCAATTATAACACAAATTATTGAATGCTCGAGCAAATTTATTAAATATTTTTTTTAGTTAATAAGGTTAGAGGTTTGAAACTCATGTTTAAAATTCAGACTAAGGTAGATTAATACCAAAAGTTATTAACAAGACAAATAACCAATAAATCATAAATTGAGATCCATTTGAATTTAGCTCAATAAATAAAGATATTTATGGCTGACTAAAAAGTTGTGTGTTCGACATCTCCACTTATTATCGTAATAAAAAAAATCATCAATTGAACATAATAAATACAATTTTGGACACAATCTTGTGCATCAAGATTTCCTCCCTAAAGACACGTGCCTTATTTGGTTTGGACAAGAAAAAATTGTTTGAAAGTTCTTTTTTTTTTGATGCAACATGTGGGGGTGGGGGTTCGAATTCATAACCTCTTAGTTTGTTTGAAAGTTTTTTAAACCTTAGAGAAGCAGAAAGTTGAAATAATCAACATAAAATGAAAATGGATATTGTACTTACAAAAAAAGAAAATGGACTTTCATATGGTGGGCTAATTAAAAGTTAATAGACTACAAAAGAAATAGGCCTAAAAAGCCCATTAGGATCCAAAATCCAAAAGTACCATCAGCCCAAAGCCCACTTGTGTGTATTCTTTAAAAAAATAAATAAAAACAAAACTTTTGGCACCTAGAATTTTGAGTTAGATGCTTATTTGATCTATGAAATTTTAAAAGTCGTACTTTTGTCTCTAAGATTCTAAAAAGGATTCTAAATGGTTTTTAGGCACATTTGACTTTGGACGTGGTATATAACATATTGGTTGGACAATTTTAAATTAAGTGGCAAAATAGATTAATTTTATATTATTTATGCTGATTGGAACGATGATGTGGTCATGTATTTTCTCTCATTCTCATTTCTTTTTCAATAGATCTTGTGCGGACGAGCTCGCTATCAATAAATTATCACTATCATCAATGTTACCTCCTGCTGCTGTCATGCTATGATGCTACTGTCATTCGTCTGATTGTGCAACAATGCTGAAGCAGAGATTTGAAATAATCGACATAAAATGAAAATGGACATTGTACACTAAACAAAAAAAAAAAAAAAATTGAAAATGGACATTCACATGGTGGGCTAATTAAAATTAATAGGCTACACATGAAATAGGCCTGAAGCCCATTAGGACCCAAAATCCAAAAGTAACACCAGCCCAAAGCCCACTCGTGTATATTCTTAAAAAAAGAAAAAAAAAACTTTTGATACCTAAAATTTGAGTGAGATGTTTATTTGGTTTATGAAATTTTAAACGATAAAACTTGGCTCCTCATTATTAAGAAGCAATCTTGTCAATAAGTTGTCAAATATTTAATAGTGGTAGAAGCAATCTTGTCAATAAGTTGTCAAATATTTAATGGTGGTAGTGGTAAGGACAAGATTGCTTCTTACTTGTGAAGAGCCAAGTTTTATCCAATTTCAAAAGTGTACTTTAGGCTCACTTACTTTCAGCCACCTAACAGAATGTCTAGATGACASTTAACATATTGACTGGACCATTTTGACAAAATATATTAGTTTTTATATTATTCTACTCATTGGACAGCTCATGTGATCCTATCTTTTCTCTTTTATTCCACCTCTCTCCTTCCCTCTTCTTTTCCAACTGACCTTCCTATGTATCGCTTAGTTCAACGAATTCGCTATTGATAAATCATCCAATGTTGTTGCATGTTGATGTCATTCGCTTGACGTACAATATTGCTTGATGTTAATTCTTCTCGAGATCTAAATCTGGAAGCTTCATTTCATATCGTTTTAGATCTAGAACGCCTCATTCTAAATCTAAAAGCTTTGAGACATTTCAAATTTGACACGAACAAATACAACGAAGCTTAAAGTTTTAGATCATGTTGGAAAAATTAAAGAAATCCTAATTCATAATTATTCTAAAATAAAAACCATAAAATTCTAGAACAATTAAGACCAATGATCTAAGCATATAAAAAGATTAGAATTACCTGGAATGAACTGCAAATTGTGGTTTGTGGTTTTTATGCAACTCAGTCCAAGCCCAAACCCATCCCACACCAAACATGGGCAATACTTCTGTATAGGGAACAGAAGGCTCAAGACGTAGGTCAATAGTCTTTAGGAAGAAGCAAAATTAGATTTTATGAAAGCATAATGCACAAAAAAAAATTTTGACATTCGAGAGAGTTTTGTTAAAAAATATACTTTAAAAAAATTAAATAACCTAGAACTTTTTTTGGATCAATAATGAATATTTGTTATTAATAAATTAGAGCCTTAAATTAATTATAAATGGCATCTCACGTAGGACAAGAAGAAAACTAAATTGTAATGCTTGGTTAAATGAAGTATAGGCCACTTTCCTTTTGGAGCCTAACTTTCAAACTTTTTCTCCATGTTTTCAACTTTTCACATCGTTGTCTTCTTTTGGGACTGGGAGATCTTCTCCCACTTATTAATTATTATGACTTGGAATATAAGCATAAACATCACCACTTTCTGCATTCCATTTCAATGGTCAAATATTAGATAGGGAAATATATATATATATATATATATATATTCAAAAAAGGAAACATCTGAGAATTTTAGTTACCTAAAATAGAATATTATTTTGATTAAATTTTTAGAATAATGAACATCAAGTATTAACACATACACAAACGAATGAAATAGTTATGTGGTAGAAAATATACGACTTAGAAGTCGTTCGTTAATGTTTCTTTAGGTAACAAAAGCTTCTTACAACTATCAAAATGCTTTCTATATAACATTTTTCAACCATAAACATCTTCATATGGGCCTCATTCCTCATAGCCCGTAAGGAGTTCCACAACTCTACTCATTGCAGGTCTTGTGTTACGGTCTTCCCTCACACATAATAGAGCCACTTTCAACAATATTTCTATCTTCTTTATGTTTTGGGCATCCTCCACTTTCAATCTTGGATCCATCACTTTCTTTACATCGTTTTTCCCTGTACTCTTCATTATCCACCTCACCATATCTGTACCTTCGCCATTTTTAGTAATGGTGGACGACTGAAAACTAGATGCATTCTTTCCACTTATGAGCTCCAAGACGACGATTCCATAACTGTAAACATCTGCCTTCGCATCAATTTTTAGGTTCATCATCCATTCCGGAGCTAAATAGCCTCTCGTCCCTCTCACCTTCGAGAACCCACTTTCATTTATCTCTCGAAAAAGCTTCGACATTCCAAAGTCAGCAACTTTTGGCTCTAAAGCCTCATCAAGAAGTATGTTTTGAGGCTTCACGTCACAATGAAGAACCCATTCGAGACATTCTTCATGTAAATAAGACAGACCCTTTGCTGTTCCAACTGCAATCTCATATCTTTGCTCCAGTCCTAATACTTCAAATGAATCAGAGAACAGAAGCTTGTCCAAAGACCCATTTTCCACATACTCATAAACTAACATCTTATGACGTTTCTCAGCACAGAAACCCCACAACTTCACCAAGTTTTTATGGTTAATCTTCCCAATAATGCTGACTTCTGCCCAGAATTCTGCATCCCCTTGTAAAACGCCATCCAATCTCTTCACAGCCACAACTCTGCCATCATCCAATTCTCCTTTGAACACAGTTCCAAACCCTCCATTCCCTATCTCTTGCTTGAAGTTCTTGGTGGCTCTCTTCAATTCGGCGTAGGAGAATCTTTTGAACCCCATCGCCAAAACAATGTAGCCCATGTTAACCAATTCTTCATTGACCCTCTTGCGAAACACATTCCACCACCCAAAACCAACAAAAACCAGTTCACTAATCCCAACGGCAACCACAACACCAACTAACAACCCCATATACCGAAACTTATTACTCTCTTTCGCAAACACATGATCACTGCCCATTACAATTTGTGAAGCCGAGCAGTCCAACAACTTCAAATCATTTGAATGTCTTTGTTCCCCCATTGACTCCTCTCCCTTCGTGGCCTTAATAAACATGAGCACAGCGGTATCGGGCTTTCGATACCCATTACGGAGAGCCATTTTGGGATAACACTGCCCCGTCCCATCGAGTGCATATCCAAATCCAGTGCACTCGCAGCTGCTAAGGCATAAATTCCTGCACATTTCAAGAGAGAAGTCTTGCTTGAAATCCCAATCATGGCCGAAGAAATCCGTATTGGGCAGGGCGATGAAATCCACTTCCTTGGAATCGCACGTCAAATTGAAAGGCGGACGGCAGCCTTTGGTCCAATCGGAAGGGTCGTTTCTGATGAAACCGGGTGGACAAGTACAAGCCGGTAATGGGTCATATTCGCAAATCCCAAACTCCCCACATAACCCATGGACCATACAAGCATCTATACGCGCACCCGAAGGGAGCCACGAGATGGTCCAGTTGCCGGTTGATTCATCGAGGCTGTACAATCTCAAAACCCCATCGTAATCAATCGTCAATCTCCTCCTCGGGCCGATTCCATAATCCGTAGCGTTGAATTTGAATTTGTCACTCGATTCAAACCCACCCATATCGTTTAAAATTGCAATTCTGGAGCTGTTGTACGGAGATCGGCCATTCACGAAAACAGTCACCATGGTATCGGGCCAGTAGATGCCGGAGAGTGAAGGGCCGTTGTATAAGAGATTCAGTACATTGTAATCGTTGAATTTGAAGTCGTAAAAGCCTGATAAATATGTACCTCGGCTTCTCATTGAAACTAATGTGGATGTCTTGAGAAATCGCTGCCCTGGAAGCAGAGTATCGGTGGGGAAATCGAAGCTCTGCCAAATGAAATTCTCTGTTCCATTCGTCACTACCAGATTTCCTGATTCCAGAAGTTGGAGTTCGAAATAGCCGTCGGCGACGGTGTCGGTGGACCACACGGCGGAGCCATCGGCGTCGGTCAAGACCAAATTGGAATCGACGTTGAGGGTCAATTTGGATTGCTGTCCGTTAACTGGTTTGTCTCTGTTGGCCATCCATACCACAGTTTTATCGAAGCTATTTGTGAACCAAATTGAGAAACAATACGAGTTGTTTCCGACCCGATAGAACCCAGAAGAAAAAGTTCCATTAGGGGAAACTAGGAGCTGGTTCATGTCCTCCACGGCCATGGAGCTTCCCGGAGTCAGCCTCTGCAACCCCAATGCAGAGGAGAATGCAAGAAGTAGACAAATTAACAGATAAGAAACTGACATTTTTGGATCACTTTCAGAAGCTAATTTGGAAAGGAATTGGAAGAGATTGGATGTGGGAAGGAGGATTTAGCAGTGGTTTTAGTGCAAGACCCGGATTTTGATATCGTTTTTGGGGTCAATGGCCGCCATGAAACGCCAAAAGTTTTTTTTTTTTTTTTTGAACCAATGAAAACGCCAAAAAGTTAAACCATACCAAGAATAATAATTTAATGTCAGTTCGTCATACATGGCTGGCTTGGCTGGGCAGAATAATTATATTTGGAACATCTTTCGTGAGAATCTCCCTTACCCCCACCGTAAGGAATCATAGAGATTGGTTTCGTTTATGTTTGCAATTCTTGCAAATAGTTCATTTTTAATCTAAAATTTTAGGCAACAATATTTTCCTTGCAAAGGCAGTAGAGCAGTAAGTAATGAGTATTAATATCCATATAGATTCATTTCAAAATCAATTATCAATGAGAGAAGTAAATAATGTTTATTACAAATCATTGTTAGGTCTTTTTTTCTTTTTAATACAAGATCCTTGACATCAAAAAAATTATCTATTTTCGAGTTTGTTTTATTTCAACAATACTCCAATATTGACTGTTAGTACTAAGTATACATGTTTTGCTAACTAATTTGACAGGTGAAAAAAAATGTTATCTCTTCCAAGTTTGGTTATTTTAGTTTGATGTTTATGTTTGTGCTACTATTTGGAGGATAAAAATCTCACTCTGGTGAGATTTATCCTTTTATGATATTTTCTAGTTTTTTATATTTTCTATTGCATTCTTTTTGCTGTAGTTATTTTTTAAAATAATATTTATTCCTAAGGTCGAAAGTGAGACTCCCGACTGCCACCCTCATTTTCAATTTTCCTTTCTATTTCTTATGAAACTATTGGCTTGAATATCTCAGTTTTTATGCCTCATATTTATTATATTCAAAAATAGACAAAAATATTTATTATATTAAAAAAATAGACAAAAAATACATTTTAAAAATTTACCGATTGAAATTGACTTTTGAAACTTGAGGTATTGAAAATAGAATTTAAATTCAAAAAGAAACTTTAAATCCAATCAACTTTGTCTGCTCCACTTGATTGAAATATTATTATTATATTGAGGTCATTATCTTGGGGCATGATGGCTATTTTATTATAAATAACTTTATTAACTGAATATCTTTTGGATAATATAATGTAATCATATTTTTAGAAAACACGTGCAAAATAGTTAGTCAAGGTTTTAAAACTAAAATAATATCCTTTTGAAATTTTGGTTTTCGTTTTCTGAACTTGACTAAGGTTCAAATATGTAGAAGCAAAAATAAAATAAAATATTTACGTAGAAGAAGTTGATGAAATTGTTGTTAAATTTAAGAAATTATTGGGACATACTATACTACCACAATGTAGTTGGTAAACTTTACGCGATTAAATTTATGAGAGAGATAAAAGTATTTTTTATTTATTTATTGAAGGAATAAAAGTGTCTTGAAGATTTTCCCATTTACCCCTAGTATTATTAGGAATAGTTACATTCATTTAATAATTTTTCATTGACCTCCATATTTAGATTTTTATATTTTAAAAATAAATTTTATTATAATAATATAGTGCATTTTGTACATTTTAAAAGCATTTTAAAAAGTATATGAAATATCGTTTTAATACGTAATGAATCATTAAGGTTATTAATATAACCTATTATTATTGTTCTATAAAAAGTATATACAGCCTATATTATTTATAATTATTGGAAAAAGTATATACCAACTAGCTGTCACTACTTGGTACCAAAAAATCCCAACGGAAAGTAAATTTGGATTCCCCACTCCAAGTTGTGCTATAAAATATAAACTTATAAACATTACTCTCATTTAGGTATTTTTTTCGTTTTGTTATATAACTTTTATATATCTTTTTAAAATCTAGGCCACATTTTTAAATTTTGTTTTTATTTTTAAATTTTGTATAAAAATTTAAATATGTTTTCAAGAAAAGTAAGAAACTTACTATGACAAAAGAAAAATAAACATAATTTTTAAAAACAAAAAACGTAATAATTATCCAACAGCAACAAAGTAATTCTATTTAACCTGTCATTTTGTTCGATCAACTATATGGTAATGGTATATTTTTTTTAGTTTAATAAATATGACGTGAAATTTGAGATTTTCAATTTTCATATATTTGAGTGATGGTACCGTTAGAAGGAAACATGCTCTTTAAATTTTAATAATGCAAAAGTTATGATTTTAGAACTCCTATAAAAATACTTGTTGAAATGGAAATAACTTTTTAAGATGCTTCAGGCAACAACACAGCTCAAACGGTAAAACTAAACATAATTCAAATGGTTAAGACATTAATAAGGTTAAATATTCAATCTCCCACCTTAGAAGAAAATGAATGTGAACTTCATGCTTTATGGCACAATTACAAGAGTCAAATAACATTACATTACAGTCCTGCATAGATCCAATCACCCCAAGATGAGACACAGCCCCACCTCATCCCCGATATCATATAACTCAAAGAATAGTGTTACACTGTACAAAGAAATGATTTTACACAATACAGTGTTTATTGCTGAACAAAATCAAAATTTTGGCTTCTTTTCTCAGGGAGGGCTTTGTTGATTCTCGCACTTCAAAAGAGCCACTCTTTGAGACCTCACATAACCTTGCCTATTATTAAGAATATCAATGTAATTTCGCAACCGGTACCGGTCTGAATTTGTTAGAGGAAATGGTGGGTTCAAAATGAGAGATGGTGCTTCTACAAGAAGGAAAACCAGTAATTGTGCCGCCTTTGAATACAAACCAGCTGCACTTTCCATTTCACCCAAGACTTCCTCAACCTGTTCCAGTCGTCACATTACATCCAGAAATCAGTTAAACCGATATTATCGCATCCGAGTGTTGCACTCTACTAATAAAGTAACAGAATGATGAAATCCTAATAGGAATGCTTTTTGATATTATGCAGATTAAAAGGCACTACTGACAATTTAAAATAAATGCAAATTAGGAATATAAGTACTCACGCCTCCATGCCTTCCAAAATCTAGGGCAGATCGAAATATTGTCTCTATTGCATCTGGCATCTCTGTATTACCTGCAATCATGCATAAGCATAACAAAACTGAGTAAAATTTTTTTGTTAATGGTTCAATTTGATGAAATAACCCTCAAGTTAACGGTGGGAAAAATTCATAGTAAAAAACATACCAGGCTCAACAGCCTTAGCAAGTTCTTCAGCATATTCAACTTCCCGAAGAAACTCCCTCTCAACTTGAGAGGAGACATCCACTGGCTCATGCGGGTTAACAATCAGTTGGGATTCTTTCCCAAGAGAACTCCCCTGCCTTTTTCTGAGGCTTCTCCTAAATTCTGCAGATTCTTGGCCTGGACTTCCTTGTAAAGCTGAAGCCGCCTGTGTATGGCATATGTCCAGAGCTTTTTTCCAGATCGCAAGAATAACAAGCTGAATTGAGAATGCTTCAAGCTGCCTACCGGCAGTGATCTGTTAAATAAAAAGATGAAACTGTAAGTTTCTAATGCCAATGTAGAACTTATTTTAGTATTTTCCGATACAACGTGATTACACCATAGTGGCACATCCAAGAAAGACTAAAAATCTTCATTTTAATACTAATCCAATAATAACGCATCATAATGATAAAATTACTTTGCTTCAATCATAAATAACAAAGAGAATAATATCTTACTGTTTCTCTAACCATCAAAATCTAATTACTCGGGCATGGAATTATGAGAATGCGACGTAGAGAAGCTTGGCATAAGAAACAGAAATACATGAGTATATTTGTTAGACTAGAACCACCAACTGGGACAGATACCATACGATATGTTTACCAACATAAACACACATTACAAACAAGTGTACCATTTTACTTGAACAGTAACAGTTTTGTACATTGAGCATTTGCATCCTCCAGTTTTAAGCAGGATACTGAAAAATAGCGTTTGCTCCAAAAGATGTGCCATCTATGAGAGAGAGACCATATACATAGAATAACCTTCGACTCCATTCTTTGATCATAGTGCTCCCAGTAGTATAACTTATATATTTTGTACATTGGCTACTTGCTTCCTCCAATTTTGACCAAGAGACTGAAAAATAAAGTCAGCTCCAAAAGATGTGTCCTCTATGAAAGAAAGTGTACATGGATAATAACCTTTCCATTCCACTCTTTGTTCATATTTCATAATTCTTTTAATATATCTACGATAGAGAAATATCTCTCACCCCACCACGCTCCAAACAAAAAAGAAAACATCCCTCAGATTTCATTACTGGATGGTAAAAGAAAGCATTTAGCTGCTCCTAGCAGAAATCAACTTACCTTCTCTTTTACTAATTCTGTAATTGTAGATGCAGATTGCTGCAATGACTTGATTCTTGCCGTGCAATTTGCAGATGGCTGTTCCAAAGTATCTTCTATATCCATTGACCCCAGAGCAGAACTTTGACTTCCCAAGCTTCCCATACGAGAGCTACTACTGGTAGCTCTGCGAATGATAGGCATCGGTGCAGTCATGGCACCTAAACTTACAGATGTTTGAGGAGAACTCTGTGATTTGCAAGAAGAAGGGATCGGCTTGGAAGCACTTGCTAAGGAAGATGAGGCATCATCCATGGGGGGTCCAGATACAAGAACGTAATCTTGATCAATCAAATCCAGAGAATCCACAACTGTGATTCAGAAAAAATATAATTTAAGAGGGAAAAAAAAAGAAAGACAATAAATCCAAATTATAGGATGGAAAATAATATACTTTATACCTCTAGGCTGACTATTCACGGACTGTGGGTTTGCAAACCTTAAAGCACCATTCAGATTTCTATCAGATAGTACATTTCCTCCTGACAGAACACGAGTGTCTGATATTAAAGTAGCACTTTCCACTTTATCTCGAACGCTGCAGTATCTGGAAGTAGTATCTCTGTACCCTCTATCAACTTTTTTATCAGGGGAAAATCCATAAGTAGACTTCACTGATGCTCTCCTCCTTACAAAGGATGGACTTCCCTCAGGACCACTAGAATCATCATCCAGAGAGAAAGGTAGATAATCATCTTGTGAATTTTCCTCCAGATTCCTAGCAGGATCAGATTCTGAAAAATTAAATCCATCCACTAATCTTGATGACCTTCTTCTGTATGCATATAAATTGAAAGTCTATTATTTTGATAACATAAACAGAGATTGACAAAAACTGAAATCTTCACTAATTTACCTCAACATTTCATCAGGTTGAATAGCACACAGGAAGGGGTGATTAAAAAATTCTTCGAATGTCAGTCGCTCCACTGCATATAAAATGACAATGAAAACAGTGGAACTAAAACGAGAATAAAACCAATGAAGTTAATAGGAACTTAGCATAATTATTAGCATGTGATAAGAAATGTAAGAAATTAGTTTCATTAGATCAATATAAGAACAAATAAAATTTATACCCGTACAACTGGTGTTTTAAGAAGACTCTGCACATTCGCTATCCATATAAAATAACTCAAGAAATGTCTACCAGAGCTACCTTAAAGCTAGTAACTGAAGGGTATTGCAGCTAATAAAATAAAGGACAACCATTCATATCATACTCTATTTCATTTGTCAAATGGACTGGACTCGTTTCTTATTTGTAAAATAGCTATATCTGAAGAAACCATTTTGGATTGCCAAATAAGATACAATCAAACTGAATTAAATTGAACCTCTTACATATAATTAATAATTCAGAAGGTCAAAAGTTGCTAAAGTATAAATCAAGGTATTCGGTATCAAGATACAGTTAGTTTATCATACATAAAGCACTTGTTCGTTCTTCAGATGGAAAAATCCAAGATGTAGCAATGCACTAAAAAAATCCAATGATTAAGTCTAAAAAAAAGTTCATTTACCTGGATTACGACGTAGTAATTTCCTGCACAAATCCTTGCAGTCAGAACTTAAGTCACTAATATCTGAAGGGAAATGTAATTCGGTTGATTTGACAATGTTCTGGAGCAACTGCACAATCCATAATACAAATATAGTAGGTTAGGAGATGGCATTTTCTCCAATTTTCCCCTTTTTAGGTTTACCTATAGTCTCTCGAATGTTAAAACAAAGACAATGAAATTCTAAAAAGAAATAATCATAAACATAATAAAGCACTCTAGGCATGCAGAAAAGGAAACATAAAACTTGTACCTGTATTTGGTTGTTTCCTGTGAATGGAGTTCTTCCTGTTACAAGCTGGAATAAAATAGCACCAACACTCCAGAGATCTGCCTGCGTATTCAGTTCAAGGTTAATAGAATGAAGATTGACTTCATATTACGATTGCAAAAAATATGCAAACATGTAGATATTACCTTTGCATCGTATTTCTGGAGTTGCATGATCTCTGGAGCCATGTAAAGTGGTGAGCCACACAAGGTTTCTGCAAGACCTTTAGGTTGCAGAGACCTAGCAAAAGAAATTGGAGAACATAAAGCACAAATGAAGGGATCATAGGAGAGTCATCTGACATGAAGACAATAAATTTCAAAGGGGGGGAAATGTCATTACCAATCACAACAATTAAACACCAACATTAGTTTAAGTTACAATCTTTATTTTGATGACTGGTGAAGCACTTCTTCTCTGATGAGTCTGATAACAGATATTCATTACTAGCTTTCTGTTTCTCTCATGATTGTGAATATAAGAACAAAAACATGACACAATTCCTTTTCACGGTATGAAAATAAAAATGAAATAAATTCATAAAGGGTGGAAGGTAGATACTATTCTTCTACCTTGCAAATCCAAAATCAGCAATCTTCAACACTGAATTGTCGTCACTTGTAGAAAGCAGGAGATTCTGCCAACAAGAGAAAAAAATGAGGAATGTCTTTTGTTTATAAGAAAGAGAAAGAAATATATATCAGAGGATGAGGCATGTCAAAAATGGAACAAATAAACAGCATACTAGCCCACCAGAAATCAACATACAAACTGAATGTTTATCAAGAAACAAAACTTCTACACATAGAGATTGGACATACTACGACATAATAAACACCAGTTATCCCCTTATTCATATTGGAAACCATCAAGCATTTCACAAAGCTAGCTTGATGCTGTTATCTTGCTAGCTGATATGCCCAAAAAAAAGTTCAAAATGAAGTTTAATATGGCTTCCCTTCTGTAATAGCACTAGAAAATGAGATATAACCAAAAGAAAAAAAAATATGAGCTGGGTAAGAATGAATCAAAACCTGTGGTTTAAGATCCCTGTGTATCAGATTGTTGTCCCGAAGGATTTTTAAGCCAGCCGCTGCCATTCACAAACATATCTCTTACTATTACTTCCAGGTACATCCAAAGTTTTAAAAAACGCCCACCCCCACAAAAAAAAAGAAGAGAAAAAAAAGTTCAAGCATACCAAGCTGCTGCATGAAATGCTTAGCAATTGCTTCTGGGACTCTTCCATGGCGCTGAATATAAAAAGAAAGGTCACCACCTTTGCAATACTCCAGTACCAGATGTATCTTCCCAGGAACCTGAATGGAGGTAACTGTCTTAACGGAAGCCAAAAAAGAAAACACTACAAATTTCTCTCAAGCTATCTCTTTCAGCTAATAAAGATTGTGAAGGGCCACAAGATTACCAATTCCAACGACTTCCACTTTCAACCCCTCCCCCATGTAAATGAGAAAACAAAACAATAGAATTCCGGGTAAGATTGCATGACCTGGTGTAATGGATTCCCATGAGGCGGAAAATGAATAATCTTAACTTCCTAAAAATGATGACACCCATTGGACTCTTCAGACTTCTTACCAACACCAAATCCTATCAGCCTAGAAATTGTTTCGCATTCCACCTATAACGTGAGGAAGGCCAAAAAGTTGAGAAAAGAGAACAGTTCTTTCCCTCCCAGTACATTGTGCTCCGGATAATTTAACGTCAACAAAAACCAAGCACAATCTTGTGAAAACTTGTTCCTTGTCCTTAAAATGTTATCTAGAGCTTCTCTAAGCCCACAAAGTCGATAACAAATGAATCATAAGCTTCTCAACTCCCATCTAAATTTTTCTAGGCATCCACGCATAGAATTCAAGTAACTAAATAACTTTCACTAACCTCTATGATATCGTGCAATCGGATGATATTAGGATGATTAATCCTCTTCAAGATAAAGATCTCGGACATAAGACTATCCTGCAATTTTTTGCTGAGCCGGCTCATGGGAATTTCCTTGATCGCGACCTCCGTTCCATGAACTCGATGTCTCGCGTGCCACACCACCGAGAATGAACCCGCCCCAATTTGCCGACCGACCAGATAGTCTGCCACCACCCGAGTTCTCCCCGTCGCGTGAGCCATTCAGCCAAGCCCTAGCAGACACAAATCCGAATACTCCCGACCGGAACAAAACCCCCCCTCCCGCCAACCACCGAAATTGCAGCTTGCAGATGAAATTCGAAGAACCGTACACGGATTTCCAAACGGATCAAATCAAATTCGTAGTTTGAAACGTGGAGCTAGAGCGAGAGAGAGGTTGGCTGGAGGAGGATTTGTTTAAAGCAGAAGCAGACAGTAAAATCGTGATTAACTTGGTGTGCAATAATACATTTTTAACGCGGGATTTGAAATTTAATTGCTGACCCATTACTGAGATCAGCGAGCTCCTCGATTTGATGGCGCCTTTTTTAATTTGACCGATTTAACTGGGAACAGAAGATTTGGAGCAAGCAAAGCAAGCCCTAGACGGAAAAAACAGCAGAATAACAATTATAGCGTACGAACACCTCCACCGTTTAGCTGGCTCGGAACGGATACTGATGCAGGATCAGGACGGCTCCCCCATTTTGTCATCTCTGCGTACTTCTCACCAAGTTCTTCAAATGACAGAGAATTGAGACTTTGCTAACATCACTCAATAGTAAAATGACTTTTTAATTATTAGAAGTAAAATATCTTTTGCTACTTGTTTTCATTTAAAGTATCCATCTTTGTGCTAAAATTATACCTTAGTCTCAATGTTAATCCAATATGCGACGAATTAATCATCTTTTCAGTATCTACTCACTAAAGTTGCATCGATTAATTAGCTGTACTTCACTATAGTTTGTTAATTAGTAATTAGTGAATAAATTATTTTGCTAGAGAATTGGGAGTTCTTAACATGTGGATTTATTGCACCTCCGAATGACCTCTCATGGAGTCTACTACACTAGCCAAGAAAGAGTGTACAAACCTGGATGTATAACTAAAGAAAAGTACACAGATATTAAGTGTTATGATTTCTTCTAATCAATTTTAGTTATTAATTTCTTCATAAATAAGGGGATTATAATATTTCAAATTGAGCTGCCAAATTGGTTAAGACATCTATAACCACTCTCACGTCTCATATTAAAAAGTAAAAATCATAACATTTTGACTAAAACGAAATACTACATTTTTATTTTATTCTTAGGAAAATTATAGTGTGTAGCAAAAATCTTTTATGTATGTCGCGTATTTCTTTTTTTTCAAATTTAACACAAATTTTACTTATATAACCAATATATCATGTACTTGTATTAGTAGTATATCATATGTATATCACATACATATTGCAAATATATCAGACACTCATATTAGTAGTATATTACGTACATATACCAGTAGTCAGATGTATTACATGTATATTATAAATATATATCATTTGGATAAAATTATCATTTTAAATTAGACTCTCGTTTGAAAAAAAAATACTATATTTAGAAAAACTCAATCTAGTTGCTATTTTACTAATTTACTATATATCTTTTCATATTTGCAAGTGCCTTTTAATTTTATGAAAATATAAAAGTAAAGCTATTTTTTAAATAAAGTCACTTTTTCAAATACTTCAAAATGAAAATAAATTTGTATTTAAACAACTTTATTGTATCTATTTGTTTAATTTCTTGGAATTTTTTAACTTTAATTCTCAACTTCGAGTTAAACATTAAATTTAAATAGGGACAATCCATCTTAATAATTTATCTATCATTTAAAATTGATTATTGGGCGACCACTGTCATCGCCGTCTGGGTGGTGTAGTTGGTTATCACGCTAGTCTCACACACTAGAGGTCCCCGGTTCGAACCCGGGCTCAGACATTTTTTTGCTTTTAACATTGTTATATTTTGGCGCGCATGGGTTGCTTCCATTTCTTAACCTGGTGGGAGATGTGGATCTCTCGGTAAAAGGAAAAAAACCAAAACGCGCTACGATTTCTTCCCCTCTTTTTCCTTTTTATTACAGTCCAAATTAAAATTGCCGTCTCATCTCAAGAGTCTACACGTTTCAGAGACCACAAGTTTCCCTCATTTCCTCTCTTCTCCTTCGACGCTTGCTTTCCTTCTAGGGTTTACGCTTTCCATTTCAGCTAAGAAGAGATCGTCTCTCCAATTCTTTACTTGAGATAGCCAGCCATGGATTGGGGCAACGTTACTGCGGAGGATCTGATCGATGCGCTTCGAGAGGTTGATTGGTCATCGCCTCCTCGACCTATCTCCGAGTTCTTCTCCAGGTTCACCGTCCCCCGATCTTCCGCCAAGTGGAACAGCCGCCTCAAATGCAATCTCTATTAGTACGATCACTGTCTCCTTCAATTTATTCGAGTTGCTTTATTATCTTTTCTTTGGCACATAAGTTTTGCTGAGAGTCGTGATTGTTAGAGTGACGCTGATTCACACTACGAGGTGCTTCTAATTTCAACTTGTTTTATATTGGTTTAGTTCGATTTTCACGTATCGAGTACGTACTTTGATGCTTTGGTAAGGAGCTATATGCTCTGAAAGCGAAATGGAATATGATTACGCTATATGCAACTTGTCAAAGGAAATACGTGCTCAATCGAGCTATTTTTCTGCCGTGCTTGGGTCGGCTGTTTTGGTTAATTAATTTACTTGTTAGACAGTCATGCTGAAATCTATATCTGCGTTGCTTATTTTATCGTGATTAATGTGTACTCAAAATAAAGGATCGTGGCTAATATGACAACATTCAGATCTCCTTTATATTTTATATCTACCTTTGGTTTGGAGATTTCATACCTTCAATCGTTAATGTGTCATTTCATTTATAAACTGGTTGCTATGCAATGCCTTGTTCAACTTACTAATTTTGAATCTTAATTTCTTGCACTTGCAGTTACCGAACCAACTACTTCATTATGATTGTTTTCATTCTCGGTGAGTGATTAAACTGTCATACATCTGCATCTACATGTGTACCGCGTATGTTTCTTTTTCTTGTTTTAAAATACGTACAGTTTTTATAAAGCGTTGGTTTGTTGATAACAGGATTGGGTTTTCTACGAAGGCCGCTTGCTATTGTTGCTGCTTTTCTGACAGCACTCAGCATTGCTTTTCTGAATGACAGGTGAGCTGTTATACACACTCTGGATAGCAATTAATATCATGAGCCTTTTCTATGATGGGGAATGCTGTTTATTCTTTGGCCTTGAATTTCCTTGTGAGGAATTATATATTTTATTCTTTTTGTGTCCTTTTTTCTTTTATCAAAATACCTGGGAAAGCTAATGGTTGGTTAGATGTAAAGTTGCTCTTTTAACCTTAGCTTGTATAAAGTTTTAATAATTTGTTAACTAAACATCTAGTTAATTACATATTAGAATATTGAATAAAATGTTTGTTTCTCATGCCTTTCCATTTGCTTGCAAGTGGGATTTTCTGGTCCAATCATTTTTTTTTTTGGCTAAATGTCTTGACAAATTCAAGTTTGTAAAAAGGAAAGTGAACTTCAACCCGCAAAAACTTTGTTTTTTCATTAAATAAGGGATTGTTTCTCTGTATCCTCCATTGAGAATAACAGATGGTGCTTATTAATAATTTTAATTTATTAATGAACATGTTAAACTTCATGATTACACTTGTTATTCAGAGTAGTAGGATTTGTAGATACAAAATTATGAATATATTATTATGCTCTTTGTATCTGATGATTGAGGAGTCGCATATTATAATGTAGTGACATGTATGGATCCTTTGTTTGAATCTTATATTAAGTTCGACAGGGGACTGCCTTTTTTTTTCCCTAAATATTTTTTGCCACAGCTTTGCAGGCACTTTCAGTGAGAAAGTAACCAGAACTGTTAGACAGTTCTCCCCACATATGGCTGCAAAGATGAGACCTCCTCTTACGTATGTCTCTCCATAAATGTTTATGGATACACTTATCCACGACTTCTGATTTCATAAATGTCCCTAGGCTGTACTTGTGCCTTAGGGCTTCTTTTGATTTTGAATACAATCTTTTCGTTTCTTATAAAAAAAAAAGATTTTATATGTGTTAAATAATTTTCAGGCCTGTTATCCGTGGACGCCCGTCATCTAAAAGAGCAATATACATATGTGGACGTCCTCGATGGGTTTTTGTCATGGTGTTCGCTTCTGGTAAAAATACTTGTTATTAGTAATTGGTGTACTTTTATATCCCACATTATCTATGCTACATATATTATGTTGGAGTGCACTGTTCCAATTGGACTTCGTATGTCCTTTCGAAATTTTACATTATATATGTCTTCTGCTCTATGTTTTCTGAAAATTTTCTCCCATATTATGTAGTGAGTTTCATTCTCTGGTTCATTTCTTGCGGTCTGTTGACTGTACTTTGGTCGCTTGCCTTTGGACTTCTTGGTATGCAGCTGCTTATAAAGAATTTGTTTGTTTTTCTAAGCTTTTATTTTATGGTTGATTTTCTCACTCACCCCTTCCCCTCCTGATAAATTTCTCAGCCACTTTGCTTCATGCAAGCTTCAGAACACCTAACTTGAAAGCTCGTCTAAACACATTCCGTGAGGAATTCCGTGCTGTTTGGCGCAATTATAGTGAACTGTAGTCGCCTGAATTTTGTAGAATGTGAGTATATTCTGCCTTCATTTTTAAACTTGGTGTTGTGGTCTACCCTGTTACTTTTCTGCATTTGCTGCATCTCCAAGGGACCCAGGGTATATGTTATTAATTTTATTCTGTTAACTTCTGCAAGGAGTTGTTCTCTTTTGGTTTCTTATATTTACGGGTCACTGTGGGAATTTGGAAAAATTGGGAAGTTTAGACCTTTAGGCCCATGAACTGGCAATATACTGGATGTGATACATTATCGATTCTCCTATAATTAGTAGCAACTGAAGAGTTTTTTTTTTTTTTTTTTTTGTAATCTCCTCTGCTCAGTAGTGTGGTTATCTCATCTTCTTATCAATGGAATTTTGGTCGTTATTGAGAAGAAAAAATTTCAGTCTTGGTTTATGGCTTCTTTTTTGCAATTAGTCATGAAAACTAGAGCTTCACTGATGTTAAGAGTCTTGTAATCTTGGTCTATGCCCCCCTACTGGTCCATTTAAATTTGAAACAATTACATACAGAAGTTAAGTTTTTAAAAATTTCTCCTTATTTTGCCCCCGCTAAATTTTCAAAATTGAAAGATTATGTTTATAAAAAGCTATCAAAATTGAAAGATTATACTTACAAAAAGCTAGAATGTAAAAGTTTGATCCCTCCCTTAATTTTGGCTCGGCCCCTATGACCCTTGTTATCTTCTCTAGACAAGGTCATATCTAATTGTTAGGAAACTAATGTTGCCACGTTAAGAAAGTAATGGGTATTGGTATTTGCTATTACTTGATACTGAAAAGATAGATGTCAGCAGTCTGAAATTTTGTGGCACTTGAAAGAAAGCTTAAGCTTATATTTGTGTGACGCAATTAGTTATTAGAATACTATTTTTAATTGAATAAATTTATCCTACCCAAATTTCATACTAAACTTTTGATATGCGCAAAGATTCACGTCTCTCTTATTCTGGGGTATTGATAGTTTATAAAAGCTTAATTAAGGCTTCATCTAAAGAAAGAAGAGAACTATCTCCATGTCCTCCTCCGCAACCACCCATAGTGACATTTTCCTCTGAAACTAGAATACTGTGGACAAATGTTAACCATTGCCTTACTGGTAATGTTCATCTACCGATTACAGAAAGCCACTGTAATTGGCTTCATCTGAACTTTTGATATCCTGTACTTGTAGCGTTCAAAGATTCCCACATCTCTTAGCTGGGGAGTTGATAATTTATGAAAACTTAATTGAGGCTTCATCTAAGTAAATAACCATCTTCATTCTGCCAACGCCCCCCACCCCACCCCCCCAATAGTGACATTTTTTACTGAAACTTGAATTGTATGTGGATGAATGTTAACCGCTGCTTGACTGGTAAAATTCATGTTGAGGTTACAGAAAGTCACTGTATTGTTTTTAATTCTATGTATCATGTGAAGCCTTATCTTCTAGAGATCAAATTATTTGCATGGAATGATGGAAGAGCCATCCTCTAGTTATCTTTTAATATATGCTCTATCGCTCTTGATTGGTTTGCTTGCATGTGAATTTAGTGATCTGAAGTTAGCAAAATATTATAATCAAAGATTATGTATAACTAGACCATTCATTTGAGGTGTCTCTCTTCCAACTGCTATTATGCAGATGCAATGCCAATTATGTATTCTGCTGCTATTTGTCCTTTGTCGTTAGCTTCTACAATTTTAAAAAGGCAAAATTGTTTTGGATTAGTTTCCTTTCACTAATTGAATAAATTTGATGTAAGCTTGCTACTACTAAGATTGGTATTGTCAATAATCTAAAATATCACGTAATAATAGCCATCTCTTTTTCTGTACAGGCGTCCTCTGTTAATTATGATGTTCATACTGTAAATCCGTGCTTCACTTCACCCGACTGCTTTGCTGCTTTTTCTAAAGAACACTTTGCTGGGATGGAAAATCTCAAGTGATGACTGCCAAATATGCAAGATTTTGCTGCTGGTAGTAAATTGTGGCCCATGTTTCTGGAGATTTAACTGTTTCATTTGTCATCTGTATTGTGAAGACTGAGGATAGATACAGTGGAAGGTTTTCAGTGAAGCAGACTGAACATTCTTAGAATTCTCGGCATTCCAATGCCTCATTTAGTTATGAACTTTTTTTACTTCCCTATTTCTTCATTAAAAAGAAAAAAAAATAATGGTCCAGTTCAGGAGCAGTTTATGGTTGAATAACATGCGTGCCTTCTATGAATCTCCAATTTTAATTTGTTTGAAGTTTGATCCCTATGATTCAAGCTTGGGGGCCATTAGTAGCCACCCAAAACTATTGATGAGATCTTATTTCACTGAATATTTCTGTTGATCTCAGCGTGTGCTCCCTCACCACCGCTGTTGTTCCTCCATATATTTGTCAGCATGGACCCAGCGCTTTGCGAGGTACAACCACTTCCTGCAACTTCATATTTTGGGGTACGCGGCTCTTGAGATTTGTGTGCTATTTGTATTTTTTCCCTTGCAGAAGGCCTTGGCAACAGTGAACTAATGAGAAAGCGTTTATTGCAAAACCGCTGGCTAAGATTTGTACTACTTTTTCTAATTGAAGCTTTAAAATGGACCAACGAAAATCTTCCCGGGGTTGAGCGACGTAATGTTCTCATGGCTATAACATAGAACCAATAGGAATTCTGTTGGTGCTAACTTAAGTGGAAATTAGGGGTGTTCGTCCGTTGGGTTGGGTCGGTCATACATAAAAACCGTCGGGTTTGAATTAGATGGTCAACCTAACCTAATCCATGTCAAGTTTTTTTTTTTTTTTTAATTATCACGGCGGAGACGAGTAGTTAAGAAAGATTAAAACTAAATAGACGATTGAGGTTAAGATACAAAATGGAAAAAAAAAAAAATTGGTTGGGTTGGATTGACCCGATTTTTTAAAAGTTGAACATGTGATTCGACCCAACCCAATTGGATTGGGAAAATCATAATCCAATCCAACTTGATGTTTCATCTAATCCAATCCTTATGGTTTGAGTTGGGTTTGTTGGGTTGTCGAGTTTTTTGAACCCTCCTAGTCGAAACTTAGATATTTACTACTCCATGAGACTGTGGGGTCACTTTCTCAGTTTGATTTCTCTTTAACATTAATCCTTAAACTGCCTGTCGTTTGCTTGGAAGAAAAATAAACTGAATTTCTATTCGTAATATTCGTAAAAGGGCTGAATATTCCAAAGCTTCTAACTTCAACTTTTTTATTGTCAAACGAGGGGCTGCAACCATGCCACTTGTTCTCCACCGTCTTGAAGAAGGTTATTCCAGTACCTTTATACCAAAAAGTGGTGAGTGAATGTTATAAAAAAAAGCTGGCGCCTTTAACCACGAGTCTGTCGCAATCACTATAAATTCGGTCGGGGATAATTAGGTCACTTGTTAGTCAATTAAAGGGGAACTTTATTGTGTAGGTAATATTGGAAGAGAAAATCCGAAATAATTAGATAATGTTAAATCTAAAGGATAGAATTGTTGGAGACTACAGATGGATTTTAGATGCCTAAAATTGAAGAACACCGTATTTGGTGTAAGGAGTTGATATATGTGGAATGTTGATTAAAATTTAAAATAGAATTTGAGAACAGCGAGTTGGTTTTTAGTTTCCTTTGGCGTGACGACATTGTTCTTCAATTGTGCCTCAAAAGCAGAAACATAGCATCAAGGTCCATCTTGATGCTGGGAAGCCGCCACGTGTTGCTCAAGATTTTTGTTTGTTGCGTTGCGTTGCCTCGTTCTTGCTTTCTAGAGTGGTTGAGAAAGTTTTATGCTTTTCTTGGCTCTATCCTCAACTTGAGCTCAAAACTTGTACTACCCCAACTTGAAAATGAAATAAACTTAATTCGAAGGAACATATTACGATCCTTTTGAAGTTTTTACTAGATGCCTTCCTTTTTCATACAATAAAGTAAGCAATTATGTTGGCTAGCTAACAGCAGATTGCTGAGCTGCGAAAGTTGATTACAGGTTGCCCACAATACAACAACTCCATTATAATTTAACACTAGAAATTCTTCCTTCTTCTAGTAGCAAATGGAAAGCACAGCTAAGCCAACCAGAACAAAGTTGGCAAAATGGATCCCACGATTCACACGTTAAAGTAACACCCTTTTCCAATTAACTTATATTTCAAAAAGAGTAAGCAATTTGTACACATCCAATTTAGTTTGAAAATATTTAAAAATTTTGAAGCTTTCCAGCAGCGAATAAAATCAAAAGGGGACTTTTGCAATGAATCTCACCCATCTGTATAATTCCTTTTATGATTAAAGCTTTCGCGAGAGTGATAAAAAGGAGTTGCTTGGGTCAAGTCTCCCCAAAGGGTGTAAACTGTAAAGTACCTTCTTAAAGTGAGTTCCCATTTGAAAGCAACTTTCTTTATTTTACCATCATTCAAATTTCATTAGTTTTATTTATGATAAGTTATGTATATGCTCTTCAAAATTTTCAATTTTAAGTAGTCATTACGGCCAATTTATCCTATGATTACACCAAAAGATATTGGTGTTTAATCATTTTCATGTTTGGAAGGAGCGGAACCAACTTAAAACCATGAACTTATCAAATCGTACTTAGAAACCCTATCATTTAAAGTTTCATAAACACAATAAACTCTATACTTCATCTTTTTAGTATTGTTGCTAATGGAACTTCTTACTCTAATGAGTATATTATCCAAAAGTTTAATGGCATAATTAAAATTACATATGTCAATGTGCGACAGTTTTTATAAGTCACCGTCACATTTTTCATTTTCCTCTTTTTTTTTAGAAAGGAAAAATACAAATCAAAATGATACCGGTTCAGTTTGAACTAAACTATCACATTTACACCTCACTGCCACATTTTTCGTTTTCTTTTTATCATAAAAATCAATAAAATTGTATTTTAAAAAAACAACTGTAAAGGAATTCGAACCTTAGACAAAAACAATATACATTAACCAAATAAATATATGCATTAACCAAAAAGTCGAGACAATTAAGGAAATAATTGTTAATTAATAAGGATGGCCCGGCGTTTAAATCAAACGTCTATCGTATGGACTCCGAAACAATTGAATAATTAAGAGCTACATAATTGTTTTTCCCAAACGCCAAATGGCAATAATGACATTTAATTTGAAATTATCGAAATTTCCTTTTCTGTGTTCAGAAACGGACGGCGACCCGGTGGCTTCCGTGGAGTCACAGGCTGGCCCATGTTCGTTCGGCCTCTTTCAACCTAAGCCCATCTTCTCTCTTTTTAATTTTTTATTACAGCAAAATTCTCTGCATCTTCTTTTTTAAGAGCAGATTCCTTATTCCAAGGAGGTTTTTTTTTTTTTTTTTTATGCTTTTAAACTGTGTAATGTAATGACCAGCGAAAAACCTGTCTCCGGCCGCCCAATTTTAGCACCATGAGAGGCCCAAAACCAGAATCAAGTTTCAGTTTGAGTGATTGCGATGGAGAATTACTTGAATTGGGTACAGGCTTTGGGCACCGCCTGGTGTTTCATGATGCTGTTGGGTCTCTTGTGTTGCTGCCTCAGCACCAAGCCCCGCCACCACGGCGACGCCGCCGGAGGTAGCTCCAGCTGCTCTTGCGACGCCGGTTACGCAGGTGTTTGATTCACAATTTTCAGATTCTTTTTCTTTTGTTGTGATGGGATTAGGAATCTAGGAGCTGGGGATTTGCCGATTTCTTCAAGATCTGTACATGGCAACTCGAATTCGGAGTGATTTTTCTTTTCTTTTCTTTTACTTTTTGGGTAGCTGCTTAATGATGTATAATCAGTATAGAATTTTCCTTTTCTGTTATTCATTCCCCAGAAATTGAAAAATGAAAAAATTGCATTGTGTTTTTGGCCTTTGATTGTGCAGTTTAAAAAAGGAATTGGTTTTGGACTCCGAGGACAGCGCAGCCCCTTATGAATAATTTTTTTTTTTTGGGAAGAGAGCAAAATTGATGAGGAACCAACCACCTCCTCCCACCCAACGTTCTTCCAAATTTTGCTTCATAATACTCGAAAATTCTTGCCATGTACCACTCAATTTTTTATTAGTAGAAACGAGTAATCCAAACAAGTTTGAGAAAGGCTGTCAAAAATTTTAGTGACGAGTAAATATGATACGTGAGAGTAGGGATTCTAACTACAATCTTTTGATTGTGCACCATTTAAATTTGAAAATAGAAAGTCTAAATTGGATTGTTTAATTGAGTTGGGTTATAAAATTAATAAAATCAACTATTTCTTTAGTTGTACATGAGTAAAATGTTTAATTTTCTTATTTTTTAAGGTGCTAGATCACATGTTTCATTTTAAATTTTAGCTAATATTTTGGAAGTGTTTAAACATGGCGTAGAATAACAAAATTCAAAGGTAACGAAGTTCAATATATTTCTAGCCACTAGTCTTGTATAAATATAATTTGCTAGATCTTTTGTTTCAAAAAAAGAAAAATATTTTTGGATTTGAGAGAGTGGTCTAAAATATAAGCCTTTGGTTACTATTCCTATTTGTTTTTTTCTTTCTCATTATCGTTGCAAGATTTTATCCAAACATAATTAAAAGTCATACTTTATCATTCTTGACTTATAAAATGCATGATAAATATTAAAAATCAAATAGAACGTTAGAAAAAGTTTCAATATTTAATTAAAAATTTATTTTTTCAATTTCAAATTTTAGAGAATAAAAAAATACCAATGAAATCCTTTTTTATTTATACAATAGAAGAAAACGAAAAACAATAAATAATATACAAAAACATTAACACTAGTAATCATACCTTCTAAGTTTTTTTTGGATATTACAAGTTGATAGCTTTGAATTTATTAACAATGCCACTTTGAGCCAAAAGCGAGTATAGCTAGGCCCATGGAGCCATACATCTCGATCGGAAAAGAATCAATAGAAAAAGAAAGAATCGGAATTGATCGATATATTTCTCGAAACAAACGAAAAGGAAACGAAAGACGAAACATAAATCATGGATCAACTAAGCCAAGCCCTCTCGGGGACTTGCTTAAGAATAAGAAAGAGGAATCTCATGTAAATACCATGGAATAAGGTTTGATCCTATTCATGGGGATTCCGTAAATATTCCATTCCAAAAAGAGAAAGTTCGAAACAATTGGGATTTTTTTGGAGATTGGATGCAGTTACTAATTCATGATCTGGCATGTACAGAATCAAAACTTCATTCTCGATTCTACGAGAATTTTTATGAAAGCCTTTCATTTGCTTCTCTTCGATGGAAGTCGATTATTGACATATATCTCAAATCAAGAGATTATGGATTTGATCCCCACCACACATATTGTAGCAAAAAAAAAGACACTTTTGATAACTGCTAACAAGTTTTTTTAAATTAAAATTAATTCAATCATATTTGAGATAATTATGTAAGAATAAAAATTTAGGCGTACCAATCGAAACGAAAATCAATCAGAAGATCAATGAAAATAGAAATATATATATATTTTTTTAAAACATGAAAATGGAAATATTATTCCTATAATATTGTTTACTCTATTTAGAATCGGAATCAAACATAAGATGATTACAATAATACCCTGTAAATTTGTAATTAATTTACATCGTTGTAAACAGCTCCTTCTTCTCTCTATTAAGAATAGACGTACAGAAAAAAAAAATCCCCATCGTAAATTAAGTCTCTCTCGAAACAGTAAAATCCCAGAAAAATAAATCCATTATTGTAAAATCTTTACATGAAAATTCATATTGTAAAGCTTCTATATCTTCTCTCTCCCCTAAAAAACAAATTTATAGAAGAAAACAAAATCGATTGAAAATGTCAAATTAAAAGAAATTTTACAGTAAAAAAAATTCACTCATATGAATCACAAAATGCTTATTTAGAATAAAAAAAAAAGAAAGAAGAAGATAGATTGGTACCTCATAAATAGATTAGGGAGAAAACGTAAACTCATCATCTAGGTCGCAGCAGTCCGTCACAAGAAAACCCTAAAAATGGAGAGTAAAATCATGAGAAAAATATAAAAGAGAAAATAATATAGGTTATAAAATAGAAAAAAAAAGTATTATAGATGTCGCGGAATAAAAAATGGGAATGAGATTGAACACGTTGTTGAAGGACACCCAATGAATCAGAACCAATTTTTCATCAAATAAGACCCACCTCAAATTTTCTAATTCATTCTCCTATAATCTCAATCCTCTCTTGCAACTTCAAAAATCTTCTTCTCTATTATAATTACTTTAAAATTTTTAGCATTTATTTCTCATCTATTAACAATGACCCATGGATTGTTATATACTTTTATTCTTATAATAAATTCTTCAATTTTTTTTTCTTATAATAAAAATTTATAGCATTTTTGTTAGTTTATGTGATTTTTTAATGAAATAAATATATATTTAATCTTGTAATTTTTAGTTTTACTTTGTTATTATTAAATAATATTAATAGATTTTAGAAATAGAACTGATTATTATATTTATAATATTTTAGTTTATGTAATTTATTTTAATTATTTATTTATTATTAAATAAATTGTTATAATAAGAAAATTTACTATCAATAATATAGTAATAATAGAAATTAAAATTCATTATTATTATAACTAAAAAAGATTAGCATATATTTGTATACCCGTAATTAATTATAATATATCTGATTCTGGTTTTGATTCTAGATAATTTTACTAAACAACATCAAATAAATATAATTCTAATTCTGACTATAGAAAATTTATGGTAAACAACATAAAAAAAACATTCTCACGGTGATTCCTAAATTTGAGGTAAGTCCCATTATTTATTCTTTAAAATTATTTTCATTCTCATTATCTTTGATTCTTATCCCTTAATGGACCCTAAATCATTAAAAATATTGTTATTAAAAATGATATATTAATCAGATTATCAACATTTAATGCATAAATTAAAAAATAAATAAAACATGATTTTGCGTATAAAAAAGTAAAAAATAAAATAAAACAAATTTCAAATGATATATACAGTATATTTAGCCTCCCATCAAAATTTTGCTGTCCTCCAATAATCATGGTTCTAAATTTCTCATATCTATATTTTATAGGTTCGACATGAGGGGTAAATCGACAAAATATGAAACATATCAACAAAATATCACTTATATATAGATTTTATGTATTTTTAAATATAGAAATATAGAAATATTTATTTTTTAATTTAAATATTTTTTACTATTTTTTAATTTTTAGAACTGTCAATTTACCATTTCCACCCCTCTTAACGCTGCAAGTTGTTTCGCCGTCGCCGTCGTATCCTCGCAGGGATCTAACAGCTTTACGGCCGGCTTTGGCTTTGGCTTTGTCACCGGCAGCATTATTGGCAATTTTATTGCTCTTCTGCTTCTTCTCGATATCTTTCGAGAAAACACAACCCATAGCCTCCTAGCTATTCTGACTCAAATTTGAATCCAAATCCATTGTTAATCATGGCGCTAAAATGTATAAACACATCTAAATCAAATTTGGTAAAAATATTTAGAAATCCCGTTAAAAAAAAAATAACCAAAACTTTTCCAAAATATACTTGAAATTTATTTATATCTGAATTTTGTCAAACAAAATTCAAACTTTGTTAATATAGAACTATTCAAAAAAATATTTCGTCTTCAAAAAGAAAAGTAAACCGATGCGAGTAAACGCGAATATAAAACAATTATATTTGGAAGAATATGAGCATTACTTACAGCTTGAATGAGAAAAATCAAAATGAGTTGACTTTTCTTTAGTCTCCCCACTTTTTGACACCTTCCCTCTCGTAGGGTATTTATAGGGAAGTAAAAGTTGGATTTCATAAAATTTTTTAGAGGAAGTAAAAAAGGTAATCTTCTTTTCAAAATCATTAAATAAATATCATGGTATTAATACGAATATCCATAGACTTTAATGGTTTACTTTAAAATTTATGAAATTAACATTAACTAAAGAATTTAATGAGAATAATATACTTATATCTAAAATATCCTTCCATATCCTTCCATATCTGGATTGTTTTGGTTTTTTACTTAAATACTTTAATTTTTTGTCAAAAAAAAAACTTTAATTTTCTTTCCTTATTAAAAAAATCAATAAACAAATTTATTTGGATTGTCACCACACCTGATTTCGAAGCAAGCTGGACACCTTCCTCAATGACCCAATGAATCTCAATAAGACCAATTTCTTTCCCATTCAACAGATTTATAATCGGAAGCACGTCTTTATTGTTTACTTTTTAAATCTGATCATAAAATATGATTTCGAAACATTAGAAACACGTTATCCTAAATAGTGGTGGAAATATAGTAGAGATTAGAATTTTATTTGAAAATTTCGTGGAAAGTTTTGAAAAAGTAGTTTTTATTTTATCCAAATCCTTGATCAGACCGGTTTTGCCTTTGAATTCCCGGAAATTCCAACGGAAAAAGGTCGACTAACGAAAAGTTGAGAGTCAACGTCAAAGTTTTCTCCATTAATTATAACTCGTCCATTCCGAACCACCATGAAACTAGTGGGCATAGTTGGGATGGGAAGAAATCAAATTTCAACAGCTACCTAACTTTCTCAGCCCAATAAATATTCAATAAATATATAAAGGAGAGCTCTCTGCCTGAATCTGCTATGATATATAATTGAATTGTTAATAGATATTTTGGATTCAAATTTGAGTCCGAGTTAGAGGCTATGGTGGGCTGTATTTGTTTTGGAGGTCGCAGCAAGAAGCAGAAGAGAAATCAAATTGCCGGTGGCGGTGACAAAGGCGGCCGTAAATTCAGACCGCCGCGAGGATACGGAGGTGGAACAACCGGCGGCGGAATGGGTGCTGGAAATGGTAATTTGACTGTTCTAACTGATGATGGTGGCGTCGCTTTGGCCGCCACGGTTGCTTTTACGATTGCTGCAGCTGCTGTCGCCGATAGTGGCGAATGCGGCGGCAGCTGTGGTGGCGGAGAATGCGGCGGCGGCGGCGGCTGTGGTGGTGGCTGTGGGGGCTGAGTTCGTGCCGGTGCTGAGAACTTCGTTTGAATTTTTTCCTTGATAATTGCTTTATTGTGTTGTATAGGATCTG